TTAATGTAATTATAATATCAGATAAATTCATTTTAATGTACTGTGTTTTTCTCTTCACTCAGCTTATCTATTTGGTAATTTTTACTCCCTGTTCTGTCCCTTCTCAGCCCTGGTAATATTACCCAAGATTGATTCTGTGTACAAACCTTTTCTTAACTTTTTGTAATAGTGGTCTTAAAGCATGATAGTCTTTTAAAAATTTTTTTTTATGATAGTCCTTTTGTGACCAACTTTACTCAGCATTATGTCCTGTTGATGCATCCAGTGTTTTATGAATTCTTTTTTTTTGCCTAATACTCCGTTGTGTGAATGTACTATAGTTTCTTTTAACCATTTCTCTGTTGATGGACGATTGGGTTGTTTCCTTGTCTTCACTATTGTAAATAAACTGCAGTGAATATGGGTGTGTCTACATGTATTCTTTCTCCATACCTATTCAATCTGTATGCTGAGCAAATTATCTAAGAAGCTGGACTCTATGAGAAGGATTATGGCATCACAATTGGAGGGAGATTCATCAGTAACCTGTGTTCATGCAGATTACATAACCTTGCTTGCTGAAAGTAAAGAGGGCTTGAAGCACTTGTTGCAGAGGATCAAGGAATGCAGCCTTTAGTATACATTGTATCTCAGTGTCAAGAAAATAAAGATTCTTACCACTGGACTGATAGGCAGCATCATGATGGATGGAGAGGAGTTGAAACTGTCAACAGCTTCATCTTGCTTGGACCCACAATTGATACCCTTGGGACCAAGAGTCAGGAAATAAGACGACACATTGCACTGGGAAAATCTGCAGTTAGGGACCTTTCCAAATTATTGAGGAGTAGTGATGCCAGTTTGAAGACTTAAGGTGCTTCTGATTCAGGCCATAGTCTTCCTGATTACCAGCTATACTTTCAAGAGCTGGACAGTGAATAAGGATGACAGAAAAAGAATTGATGCCTTTGAGGTGTGGTGTTGGAGAAGAGCACTGAATATCCCATGTTGACAAGAGAATAAACAGATGTCTCAGGGATGGTACAGCCAGAGTGCTCTTTGGAGGCAAGAATGATGAGGCATCACCTCACATACTTGGGACATGTTGCTAAGAGGTGCTATTCCTTGGAGAAGGACATGATGCTGGGAAGGGTGGAGGATTGGCAAAGGAGAGAAAGACTCTCAACCAGTTGGATTGATACAGTGACTGCTGGAGTGGGCTCTTGTGTGTCTGGAAATGTGAAGATGGTTCAGATCTTTTGTTCTTAGGGTTACTATGAGTCATACTTGACTCAATGGCACCTAACAACAACTAACAACTACTTGTGTGGCAGCTTCTTTGGTATGGATAGATAGATAGCTAGATAGATAGATTTCTAGTATTATCATGATTGTTGGATCAAATGATATTTCTATTCCCAGCGTTCTAAGGATACGCCAGACCGCCAGACTGTTTTCCATAGTGGTTGCACTAGTTCACATTCCCACCAGCAGTGTATGTGAATCCTAGTCTTTTCTACACTCTCATTAGATTTGTTATTTGCTGTCTTACTGAACTTTGTATTGTTGCTGGGGTGAGATGGTATATTGTTTCGATTTGCATGTCTCATATTGCTCATGACCTTGAGCATTTCTTCATGTCTTCTATGGTGATATGTCTTTCCATGTCCTCTACCCATTATGTATTTGGGTTTATTGTGTTTTTCTTGATGAAGTATCAGGCTTTTCTATAATTTTTAGAGATGAATCCCTTGTCAGATGTCATTGCAAATTATTTTCTTCCAATCTGTAGGCTGTCTTTTTTACTTTTCAGAGAAGCCTTCTGATGCACATAGTTATTTAATTTTTAGAAAGTTTCCATTATTTAGTTTATCCTCTGCTGATTATGCATTTTCAGTTATATTTCATAGTCTATGCCATAGATTGAGGCCTTTTTCCTCATTTTTTTTTATGATCTTTGCAGTTTTAGGTCCTTGGTCCATTTTGAGTTAGTTTTTGCATGTGATGTGAGATATGGGTCTTGTTTCAATTTTATGCAAATAGATAATGAGTTTTGTCAGCAATATTTGTTAATGAGGCTATCTTTGTCCTAGTTAATGGGTTCCATCTCTTTGTCAAAGAGCAGCTGTCTGTGGGTGGGTGGATTTATTTCTGGGTTCTTAATTTTATTCTTTTTGGTCTGTGTATCAGTCAGTATACTAATGTTGTTATTGTAGCCTGCAACTCATGGCGACCATATACAGCCCTAAACCCTGCCCTATCCTGTGCCAATCTCACTATCTCCGACATACCTACCCCCATTACCCCAGTCACTGGATCAGTCCACCTCATAGAGAGTCTTCCTCTCCTGTGCTGTACCTCCACCCTCACAAGCATGACATCCTTCTCCAAGGACTGGTCCCTTCTTGCAACATGTCCAAAGTATGTCAGACAAAGCTTCAGAATTTTTACCTCCAAACAGCAGCCTGGTTTAACCCTCTCCAGGATGAACCTGTTTGTTTTCTTAGCAGTCCATGGTATATTCAGTACTGCTCTCCAAAACCACAGCTCAAAGGCATCAATTCTCCTTCTATCCTCTCTAGTCATTGTCCAGCTCTCTAACGCATAGCAAGTGATTGCAAAGACCATGGCCTGTATCAGATACCTTAGTCTCCAGACTGACATCATTGCTCTTCAGTACTTTGGAGAGGTCCCTAACAGCAGACTTTCCCATCACAATACGTCTTTTAATTTCCTAACTGCTGGAGTCAAGAGTGTTGACTGTGGAGCCAAGCAAACTAAAGCTGTGAACAATCTCAATCTCTTCACCATCCATCCTGATGCTGCCAATTGTCTCAGTGGTGAGAATCTTTGTCTTCTTGATATTGAGCCTCAATCCATATTGAAGGCTGCAGTCCTTGGCCCTCTACAGCAAGTGCTTCCTTCAGGTCCTCTTCAGTTTCAGCAAGCAGGGTTGTGTCAACTGCATAATGCAGATTGTTGATGAATCTTCCACCAATCCTGATGACACACTTCTCATACAGCCTAACCTCCTGGATAATGTCTTCTGCATACAGGTTGAAAAAGTATGGAGATAGATAGATACCTGGTGTATGCCCTTCCCAATTTTGAACCAAGAAGTGTTTTCTTGCTCCCTTCTGACAACTGCCTCCTGGTCCAAGTATAAGTTTCACATAAGTATGATCAAGTATTCTGGGATTCCCATTCTTCTCAGAGTCAGCCACAGTTTGTTATGACCCACGCAGTCAAAGCCTTTGCATAATCAATGAAACATAGATAGACATTCCTCTGGTACTCCCTGCTTTCAGCCAAGATCCATCTAACGTTAGCTACAGTATATAGCAAACCATTTTCATTACGGTGGCTATGAATGGAGGTGGTGTAAGGCTTCCTAGTTGATTTTTCTTCTTGATTTCTGGGACACAACAAGAGCAATATTCAGAAATGTTGGTATGTTGTGGTTTCATTCTTTCTTGGGGGGGTGGGGCGGTGGTCAGGCCAGAAAGGGAAGGCAGAGGGCTAACAGCTGGGAGAATTGCAGCCCTTATGCTGTCTCTTTCTGGGGTTTTATGATCATCAGGATGGTAAACAAAGGAAAATCACAAGGAAGTAGTAAATAAAAACAAAAGATCATGGGGAAGTCTTTTGTAAATAAAGCTGACAGTCTTCTCTACTGTTTAACTTATGCTTATCTCAGGAGGGAAGGATTTAGTAAATACAAACTAAGAATTATGTAGGATTGCCTTAATGCCTACCCCTGTAAACACTTAAGGATTGCCTTAGTGCTACAGGGTGAATTCCAGCTTTTATCATCCTCCTTCCTATCCTAACATAGCATTGGTTTATTAATATTAAATTTGATAATTTGGCTTCCCACATTTCCCCTCTTTTGTTTAAATAATAATTTTGTGGTCATTAAGGCAAGCTTATTTCTTTTCTTCAGATTTCATTCTTGCTTGTTTTTGTTCTCTTCGTCTCAGCCATTCTTCAACTTTGTCCTCGTCAAAGCTTAGCCTTTTTTGACTCATCTTGGGGTTTCATGTTTTGAGAGAGCACCCACAGCATTTCTGAGCCCTGAGTAAATTCCATTTTGATTTTCGGGGGGCGGGGTGTGTGTATGTGAGAGAGAGAGAGAGAGAAACTACCGCCTCTTCAGGTTCCTGTTTGGGGGCCAAAATGTTGTC